AAGTAAGGTAAGGGACGTACGTACTAGTAGTTGGTTCGTACGTTACTTACTTTAGGTTTGTAGTTGTATTATACTATCTATGTAAGTAGTGCGACGGAGGTCGTCTCTCTCTCTCTCTCTCTCTCTCTCTCTCTCTCTCTCCACACTTTTCTTTCCAAAAACACACCTCAGTCCCATTGTAATCCCAATTGCGTTAACCACTTTCTTTATACTTTAGGGTTTCCATCCAATTCAGGGGTCATCACTCAGTCCTCTGAACCTCTTATGAATTCCACCAACATTGACAAAATAAAACATGGGAAAAGAATGCCACAGCCAATCATACCAAACATTCCAAACTAAAGAGCAACAAAATAACCAAATGCGCACCAGAAAACTCCAAACCCCTACATCCTACACAAACAAGAGTGCAACTAGAAAATGCAAACAAATAAAAACAAAAATATCGTCGAATTCGAAAACCCTAATTCAGCTTTGCCATCGAGAATCACGATGAGGACGATAATCCATCGATTTATGAAGAAGAATAACAAATAATGGAGAGAGAGGAAGAAGACTTGAGTTTATACCACAGAACCAGTGGGAGCAGTTAGCCTGGCATGGAAGCCTGAAATTGTCATGGCACACTGCGCAGATATCGTCGGTGGGTGGTGTGTAGGCCATATACCGATCAATGGCGATTGATGGCTTTTGAGAGAGAAAAACTCAAATTAAAGGGCAAACCACAGAGCATAATGAATGGTTACTTAAATGAGCATGAAAATGGAAGAAAAGAAAAAACGCGGCGATTACTTGGGTGGTGTAATCTTTCTTATTAATTTATGGGACTTATACATTAATTTGAAAGTAAAATTGGGTGGCTCAAATTTTAAAATAATTTTTTTAGACGTTTGTGACATATCCAAACTCTCAAACTTCACTTCACATAGATAGTTGTAATTAATTGTGAGCACTTTGTATCAAAGATATATCATCTTATTGTATACAACCTCTTAAATTATTTATTTTATTGTCTCCTATAAGTATCATAGTTAGCAAGTCGGGGACTAACAATAAATTGGCTCATTAGGTTAAAAATACGAATTGACAAAAATTCTTCATGTAAAGATATCACAAATATATCGCACTACACTAAAAAAATCAGATAAGTTTAAGTTCATGATAAATATACCATATGGTTTTTCTCATTAAATACTTTAACAAACGTCACACATACTTAGTACATACAAAAAAAAAAAAAAACTATAAAATTTTCTCATTAAATGCTTTAATAAACACCACACCTATTTAAGTACATACAAAAAAAAAATACTCAAATTTTTTTTCATTAAATGCGTTAACTATGGTATGGTGACCCTCCCTCAATAACTATGATCCAAAACACAATTTCATGCCAAACGATTGATTTCTTAGGGGGATTGATTGGTAACCCAATACGTCACTATATGCATTGATGAGTGAGAACCGTATGATTACTAAAGACACCAAGGGTCAAACCAAACTCTTTTTAACCAAAAAAAAAAAATGCTTTAAGTATTTTCATTTTAAAATATGTTCTCCATAAATCTGCTCTAAAAAGACCAAGTGTCAATTCAATCTTATCTTTTTCTCTCTCTAAATTCAACGCTCTATAAATGTACTCTCACTCTCTCTAACTTGCTCTCTTATGGTATAATAATCCATCCCTTATCCTCTATCTCTATTTGAACTCTCTCTCTCTCTCTAACTCTTTCTCTCTCCTGTGGTATAAAAATATGCCTATCTCAGATGTAGTGGTTTGCTTTTTTACTTTGTTTTTAGAGAGAAAAGAAACTTGGGTATTCTGTTTTTAGAGATAGAAAAACATAATAAAGAAGCAAACCACTAATTCTGGGTTTATTTATGATCCGATGTGTGCTCCCAAGGGAGCCACAAATCTTTTATGGTCTCGGGCACAAATAGACAGTGTGCTCCACAGATCTTTTTTCCCTCTGTTTTAAAAAAGACCATAGTTTCCTCAAAACAGTGTAATTACATCTTTAAGATAGATTTTTAAAAAGGAAAATTGTTTCATGCGGGTTGGACTGCAGTTCTACATATGCGGTCCATAAAGTGTAAAGCATCCATCTTAAAGATGGATACAAGTAGGTGTTCCATCTAAAAACAATGGAAAATAACGGTCCAAATTCCTTTAGTTTTTAAAATTTATTTATTTTTCATATTCATGATCTCCATATTAGATATTACATGTCCTTAAAATTAAATCTTAAAATCCATCTCAAAAATATATTTACTAAGAGGCCCACATTTCTACATATGCAGGCTTGCCCACATAGAAACTAGGTCCTTCTAAAAAAGACCACATTCGAATCGTTGGGTTGGCTCAAGCATCAAAACTACATCTTCATATAACTTTTATGCCGGAAGATGTTTATTTACTCTCTCAGTAAAACCCCATCTAGAATTAATTTTAGAATCTCAAATTTTGGGGATGTAATCTCTTCAACCCATGGTCAATAAAAATTTTTCTTAATTGTACCCTCTATTCAATTTTAAAAAATAATATCTTGAGATTCAGTTAACTGTGTTAAAAAATAATAATCTCGAGATTGAGTAGAGACCATTCAATTTTTACTTTTTCAATGCTGCCCCTGTCCAATATTGCAAACATCAACCGATTTTTTATTTTTTGTACTGTGTAGCTGTTTCATAGCATAGGGTCAATTTGAGGTTAATTCTGATGTTTCAAATATCAGATTATCTTTAAGGTTGGATGTTTATTGCCCAAAAATCAGGCAATCCCATTGTATGGCTTTTTCCCTGTTGAGATCCGATGCTTGACACATCAGGCCTCCTAGTTTTTTCTTTTTGGTTAAAGTAGCCAGTCTGGCGTTTCAAATATCAGACCGACTTTTTACTTGGGTTTATTTATGATCTGATGTTTCCAATTTTTATTTTTATTTTTATTTTCTAAAGAAGGGGATTTACACACATGGCCATAGATGGGTGAAAGAGAGTGGCAAGCAACATGCATGCCAACGTCGTGCATGGTGAGGTCACCCACAACTCTTTTACTTAGGATTCTCCCAATCTCACACTTTAAGATTAAATCTCTCTCTCTCTCT